GCAGATCTTTATGAGTTCAAGGCCAGCCTGGTCCACAATGTCCAGAACAGCCAGGGCTACACAAAGAAACACTCTCTCTCTCTCTCTCTCTCTCTCTCTCTCTCTCTCTCTCACAAACCAAACCAAACCAAACCAAACAAAACCAAACAAAACCAAACCAAACCAAACCAAACCAAACAAAACAAAACGAAATATTCTATGTAACATACATGGATACATACATATGCATGTAAAATATTTTTGCTGTTTCCCTTCAAAGCCAAAGAAGAAAGCTATATTCATGAGGTTGGGAATATAATTCAGTTAGTAAGGAATTTGTTGCCCAAGTATAAGGAACTGAGTTTGGATCCCCAGCACCAAGGTATAGAAGCTGGGTGTGGCAGTACCTGCCTGTAACCCCAGTCCTGGTGAGGTTGAGATACAAGAATTTGGAGACTCACTACCAGCCATTCTAGCCAAAATTTTAAGCTTGGTAGGCTCCAGGTTCAGTGAGAGACCCTGATTCAAGCAAGCAAAAGGGCGTAAGGAAAGTAGTGGATGAAGACCCATGACATCAGCCTCTAGGCTCCATGGGGAACACACCATGGATACACTTACATTAAAACGTGTATCCCACTTCTCTCTCTCTCACACACACTTACAGTCTCATGATGACTTCAACAAAGTCCTCTAAAAAGCAGTTGGTTGACCAAGAGGCCCTTCAGTTGACCTATCCTAAGGGTAACTTCATCTAGAAAGAATTAGTTGGTGAGACTAGCACCCTGCTGGTTCTGAGTTCAAGGAATGCCTCTACTTTGCTCTCATTACTGTGATCTCAGAGCTTCAACACTGAGTGTTCAGACACCTTCTCAGGTGGGTAGAAGCTGTAGCATTTTTTTCTTGGCCCTTTTGAGTTTTACTCATGAACTCTGTTCCACACATCACAGGTACCTGACCCAGTAATAGAGACTGCCTAAGCCTCATCTCCAGGATGGACCCATGCTGCTCCTCGTCCTAATTTCCTCAGCAGAACGTCTCCTGTCCACCAATCCAAGACTTGCATTTAAAGTACATCATGCACTATTTGTAGAGAATGTATCTGGAAAAAATGTAGCCTCATATCTCAACGTTCCCACAATTTCCTAAATTATAGACACATGTGGCCTGAGAGCTGGAGTTTTACATTAAGTTCCTAGAAATAGCGAAGCAACAAAAATCAACTCTTAAAATATCTTCTTGTGAAAAGTCCTTTTCTGGGGCAGGGGGTAGCTGGAGAGATTGCTCAGTCAGTAAAGTGCCCACCACCAAAGTCTGAGGGCTCAGGATCCCATCCATACTACATAGGTGGCTGGCCGGGTGAGGCGGTGCGCCTGCAGCCGTAACCACAGTGATGGAGGGTAGAGGCCTGCAGATCCCTGAGGTTTGCTGGCGAGCTAGGGTGGCTCGGTGGAGGAGCCACAGGTTCAAGGAGATGCCCTGTCTCAAACAATAAGTAGTGAGCAGAAAAGGGTGATGTCTAATTTGACCTCTGACCTCCACATCCACATGGACACATAACCCCCCGACCCCCTCTCCACACACGCCAATGCCACCAGCATCATCCTTTTAGTGTATCTTCTATTCTTAAACTATTTATCTCAGCATGTTAACAAGCCATCAAATACTCTACTCACTACCTGAAAACAAGCCCCTTTTGACGGCACTCTTACCCCTAGGGATTTAAATCCCCCCTCACTAATTTCTGTCTTGAGTGGAAATGTAAAAGTGTCCTGTGGAATGTGTGAAAGGCAAGCTTTGACTCACTGGGGACAGAGGGCGACTGGTAAGGAATCATCTGAAGGGTAAAGAGGTTCGGACTGTCTCTCTCTGGAGCACACATCCTACTACAGCTCCGGTCCTGATGACCATGTCAACACTGAGGCTCCCATGCACCTACTTTACAACCTCAGAGCTGGGTCCCATGTGAGAAGTCAGGAAAGTCAGCCCACATTTTACACACACGGGCTCCAAAGCCAGGGGAGAAGCTTCATAGGATGTGAAGTGCAGACAGCACGGTAGGGATGGACCAAAGGGACAAATGGATGATGTGCGGATGGATCCCAGTCCATGCCAGACAAGAGTGAGGAACTCTCCTGCTCCCTGCTGCTTCACCATCCTGTTTAACTGGGGAGGAAAGTTACTTCCTTTCTCTGGGGCTTTTGTTTTTTCTTCTTGGAAGGACCAGAAGGTTCTTTCTGAGTCTTTGATTTCCTGAAGTGAGAGAACTTTGCAGTGCTGCTCAGTTGGGCCAGACTCATCCAGAACTCATGATCCATTACTAATGAGGGGTTGGACAGGGCTCCTCAGTGGAGAGTGACTGCATTAGTTTGGCCTCCCTGATTTGCGCATAGAGTCCTCACTTCCCATTGCATCAAAAAGTGACGGTGGGTGGATTCCACCAGAGATAATCAAGACGCTCAGAAAGCAGGTGAGATGTGGGGCACAAGCCTGTGACCTCAAGCACCCAGGGGGAGGAGGCGGGACTGCAGAAGTTCAAAGACAGCCTGGTCTACATAGCAAGTTCCAGGCCAACCAGGACTACACAGCAAGAGCCTGTCTCAACTCAAAAGACAAAAAGAAACAAATAAAGAGGAAGAGAACAGTAAAATTAACCACTAGTGGCCCACCCTTGGTTTTGGAATTGGCCTGCGTTTGAAATTTGTGTTTTTTTAGAAGTCTTGTGTGAAACAGAAATCTATGCCTGAGGCGACTAACAGCTCTTTATGACACACTGAGCCTTATTTCTCCCCATTTTACTCTTCCCTTGACATCAAATTCCATCTGAGAAGAAAGGCTGAGTACAGAGGGGGTGCCCTCAGGTACTTCTCCCAGTGACTGTTGTCATTAGATATAAAATAGCAGGGTGGCAAACACTTTAACTGAATTCTTGATCCTCAGGGCAGACAGCTATACCAATATGGGGCATTTCCCTTCTCCCGCCATTTGTTTTTTAGGTTCAGCTCCTCCCTCACTTCTTTGAATGTTTCAGAAAAAAATGCATGTGGTGAAAACCTGTCTTTCTTACGTGTGGAAGAAAAAGGGAATACTAGAAGGCTTGTTTTGGATCCCTGTTTTAAGCTGTTTCCTCACAGAGGGCCATTGTCTAAACTGTTCTTGAGGCAAAGGCTGCTTTGGAGAGCCACAGACACCCGAAAGAGACATCTTATGAGTCTGGTCCCCCTCAGCATCAGCCTTCCTACACCTCCTCCCTTCCCCCGCCCCCGCCCCCAGCCGCCACTGTCTGCTCCCTCTCCAGTTGTCTGCACGGAGCCCTGGCCCTGAGGTATCGCTGACATTCTGAGTGCAGTAGTCATTTCTGCTCTGGAAAGCCAGGAGTGCTCTGAGGATTCCTGGCTGTGTGAGGTCTGTGTGCCATCCTAGTCTGTTGCCCACACACAAAGAAGCAGGGTGTGTTACTCAGCAAGTCCCAGGGTTCTCCGAGTCTGATCGTGGCTGGGAAAGTTCAAAGTGTTTACAGAGGAAAAGCGGAACCGGGCCTGGTAGGGGGTAAATAAGGAGCACAGGCCAGAGTGGAGGGGTCACCAAACTCAGCAAGCAGAGGGAAGGGCAGTGAGTGTGAAAACCATGTCCTGGGATAGTCTGGTCACAGCAGGTGCTCTCTGCATGGAACTGCTTCAGGGAAACTGGAGAAATGGAGGCAGGGAGATGGCTGGTTCTAACAGGTAGTCCAGATACCACAAGTCATGGCCCTGACTGCAGGAAACGTTGCCATAGCCACAGCGAGCACTGGATAGCCATAGAGAGCCACACGCCCAAGGGCTTTGGCCTCAGAGCACAGACAAACTACAGGTGCTGAGATCTCAGCCAAGGGTCCTAACTCAGAACCTCAATGGAGCTACCACGTGGAAAAGGTCACCCGGAGGGGACGAGGCAATGAAGCTCCACTGGGGATCCCTGACATTTCCTAAGCTCACGCCTGCACCAGGCACTTAGCGCCAGCTAGTTAAGTCTTACAAAGATGCTGTTGTTATTACATACATTTTATAGAAGATACTGGGGTGCCAGGGGCTTCTGAGGAATTCTACTCACTGTATTCTAGGGCCCATGTTCTTAATGGCTTCATTCTTTTTATCTAACCTCCTTGCACCACAGCTTCTGGGGACAGGAAGGAGCCTACTTTTCAACATCCCAGGCTCTGAGGGTGTCATTTCCCAGGGTGGGGCTAGGCATGGTTTAGAAGCAAGCTGGTGTCCATCCAGGGCCCATCTGACTACAAGAGCTGTAGTCTAGCCTGAGCTCCTGGGCCAGGGTGTGGTCCTGGAAGAGTGTGACTCCTGTATTTACTCAAAAATAGTCATTAAGTCATTTTGAAGACATCTTTCCTTCAGACTAAACAACCCCACTCCCTTTTTAAACACTTTCCTCACAGGCGCTCTTTTTTGAGACCCTTTTTTTTTTTTTTCCACCCCCCCCCCCCCCCCGCCACCCAGCATTCTTCTCCCGGCCCAGTCTCTATTTTAAACTATCCTAGAACAAGATCTTCACTAGGGAAGAAGAAAGGAATGTCTTCCCAGATTTCATCTCTGGCCTTAACAAATTAGCACTAGCATAGATGGCAAACTGCCTCTTCTGGTCCACTCTGACTTTCAGGTTTTTTTTTTTTTTTTTCTTTCTCATTTGTACCTGGCCAGTTTTCTATTCACCGATTGTTTCTGATGACACTGAACTTTGCTATTTGTTTGAGGGTCTACCCCTTGCCTCAAAAAGCCCTCCAAGCTGTTCTTAACTCATTTGAGTTGGCCTAATTTTTTTTTGATACCTAAGACAAAGCTTCAGAAAGAACCCATTACATAGGAACAACCTCTGAGAAGTGAGAGAGCTGACAAGGAAACTCCTCATGTCTGCAGGGGCCTGACATCCCTTCAGCAGAGAGGCCAAAGCCACAGATAGATTTGTGAGACCTCGTGGGTCTTTGAGTACACCAGCTCAGAGAGTTACTGGCCCCAGGTGGGCCCACTTACTTCGGGGTTCCCGGGGGCCGTCCACTGTGATTTTGATGGCTCTGTGGTAGGTGGCCACTTGTGGGGGGTTTGTAAAGACGGTGATGGTCAGAGTGAAGCTTTTGCCTGTGGAGACACAAAACAGAACAGACACAGTGAGGGGTGATCTGAGCATCTTCCCACTGGGTCAATCTAGGTTGTGCAGCCCTCAGACTGGAGAGGCAACAGGGCTGGGGCAGGAGCCGTTGCCCTCCTGGTACTCGAGTGCATCGTGCACTGTTCCCAACCTGGAATGCACACAGCGGGTTCTCCAGGTGTGGAACACCGAATAACTATGTGGCTTTAAGTCAGCCATTAATTACCAACAGGATCAGGGAAGACCAGAATTTACCCCCACACTGGGGCTTTGGGAATTGCTAGCTGGGACCCACAGCCATCCACTCCTACCCTTGGTCCTCCTGTCTCTTCTGCTTTCCTTGGATGTTTATAAAATCCAGGCAAAAGAAGAAGAAAAGAAGCCTCACCATATTTCTCTTTTAACTCTGGACTTCTGAGGATTATAAAAGATTGACTTTCTAGGGCCAGGGGTAGGCCAGTGGTTAGAGCAGTTGCCTAGCAAGCAGTAAAGTGCAGGACTCTATGTCAGCACTGCGTTAACTGGATGCAGTGCCACACATCTGTAATCCTTGGACTCAGGTAATGGAGGCAGAAGAATCAGAAGTTCAAAGCCATCCTCAGCTACATAGTGAGTTTGAAGTTAGCCTGGGCTACATGAGACCCTGTCTCAAAACAAATGAATTAACAAACCAAACCAATAAAGATTGAATTTCTAAGTATGAAAACAGGATGAATTAGAAATTATTCCCTCTTAATATTAGAAATTGATGGCTGATGTTAAATACTATTTATAAATGCCAGGTGATTAAACGTTACAGAAGTATTAATGGGATAGAACAGCACAAAAATGTGCAGCCACCACATTCAAATTGTTCATACAAAAGTGTGCCTGTCTCTCACTATTTGACATGCTATGAAAGGTCAGCTCAGAGTTCAGTCAAACACATTACTCCTTGGCTGGCTTCAAGGGCTTCAGGGGGTGGAGTCTGGGTTCGAATTCCTGCTGCTTCCCCCTGACAAACTGCTGTATCTAGACTTGTTAGTGTTCATGCCTGAAAATTGGGTACAGGCAATTTTCCAAATTTATACAGTTTTTTGGCAGAGAGAAGAATAAATGAGGCAACGCTTTTCAACAGTGCCTGTGCTCTGTGTTCAAAGGCTCACGTCTGAGCTCCCACCCCTGCCCCGTTTCCCAGAGCTCTGCGTGGAATGCCGGTGTTTGGCTGAGGGCAAGAGAAAGTGTTCTACCTATTATTATTATATTAGTTCTTCAGTTAAGACAATGTCTCCTCTTACATCATATGCAATGAATGAAAGGGAAGCAAGCCATGCCCACTGGCTCCACAAGGCACTGGCTATTTTAAAACCCAGCCTACCTGCCTACCCTCCTTAGAAGAAACATACGGTTTCCAGCTGACATGTGTGTTTTACTATGGATGAAGGCCTCTGAGAAATTTCCTAAGAATACAACCTATGACCACAACATGCTGCATTTGTAATCAAGAAGATTGTCCCCAAATAATCCTCGAGCGTCTGTCATCGACATGCTAAAGTCTGTGCCAAAAAGAATCAGGCAAGGCTGGTGAGGAAGTTCACCAGCACCTAGAGTGGCCCGGGGGACCAGGCAGGAGTGAGTTCTGGGGACTAGGGCTTTATGGCACAGGAGAGTGTGTACCTGAACTCCCCCTAACATCGTCCATTGGCTGCCTCCTCTGGAAGATGCTGCCAGGCTCTGGGGTTTGCCAGATGGCAGCGGGGGACATCCCATGTGGTTTTCTACCTTGGCATCTAGCTGACTTGGGGGGATGGTGGACAAAAGCTAAGGGTGGACACACTGAGGACGCTGTGCTGATGGGGAGGCCCAAGGGAGCTAGCTGGCCATCATCGTCTGTAGTCTTCAAGCTTGAGGCCTGCTGCTGCTAAGGTAAGCATCCTGAAGACAGCACAGAAGGCTTTCCCTTCTCAGCAGGAACCCATGATGGGTGAGCTCTTGAATCATCCACGGGCTCGGTTTCCAGAATCTTCTCCCTAGAACCTTTCCCTTCTTCTGCAGATCATGAGCTCAGCTCTCGAGCTTTGCAATTCTGGGGTTTCTGTGCCCACAGCCACTTCTCCAGCAACCCAGCCTCACTTGCTTGGGTGAACATCTTCAAAGCACAGGCAGTCTCCACTGACCTGCTCCTCAGTGATCTTCTCTGAGCATGCGTTTCCTTGTGACTGTTTCTAATGGGCCCCATAAATCACTCTTCACCTTGATTAATGAGGACATCTGCTTTGACAGCATTTGTGATTGTCCAAGCTTAATCTGCCTGAGGGCAGGGGCCATGTTCTTCTCCAAAGCCTAGTGAGCCTCAGACGTGTGAAAGGAGAAGAACAGGCAGAGGCGTAGGGGCAGGAGAAGACAGTGACAAGAGAGAGAAAAGGAAAAAGTACCTTGAAGACGTGAGTGACTGGTGGTGACATGGCTGAGCCCTGAGCTGGCCTGGGGTGTGTGTGTTTCAGGGAGCGCAAGGACAATGAGTTCTACTGCCTTCAGCTAGTCACTTAGAAGATTTGGACTCTCCCACATTTTTTGCCTCCATTGGTCTCAGTTCAAAGGATATTTGTGGTGTGGCTCACAGCCCTCTGACACTATCTTTTGAGCCTGAGGCAGAGGGATGCCTGCATTGGAGCTTGTAGCTCTCTGAAAGCTTTCTTCTCAGCTCACGGCAGTGAAATTACTGTACCATCTAATGTTCTCTGATGCTGTCATCTGAGCCCATGACTGAACTCTGACTTCAGCTGTGGGTTGCCTGAAGTGCATCTTGAAGCTCTCTGGTGATGTCTTCCAATCCTCTGACTATCCAGCATTCTGTCAGCATGCATAGATGCATGGTGGCCCATGTCCTCTGCTGCCTACAGCTTTGGAACTGCAAAGACCTCAGCGAGAGCTGAGTTCAAGCAGTCTTGGGCTGATGCAATACAACACTGTCACTTAATATACACAGACTCAGACTCTCGTTGTTCTGGGAACAACAACATCAAGATGAAGGTTCCTGTAAGACTGCTCCCTTAGGAGGCTCTGAGGGTGGCTGGCTCATTCCTTCTCCTCCTTCCAGCTTCCTGGGTTTGTCATGGGCATTGACCTTCTGCAGGAGCTTGTAGTCTCAGTGCTTAATCGCTGGCTCCATCTTTGAATGCTGCCTTCCTATAGCATGGCCCTTGACTCTGAATCTCCCCTTCCATAGAAGCTGCCATACCTGGACTGCACATGAAGGTCATTGGGCATCGACTCTACGTGAAGGTCATATACATGGACTAAACATGAAGGTCTTCATGCATGGACTCCCCATGAAGGTCTTCATGCATGGACTCTATATGAAGTCATCACATGTGGCTTTAACCTCACTGCACCTGTGACCTTTCTAAATAAGGGCATATTCTGAGATCATGGGTGGGTATAGACTGTCTGGGCACATTCTTCATCCCAGGCATGTGAGGGTTTCCTCCTTCAGTCACGATACCTGTAAATTCCTAAAGAGCAACAAGGAAATCTGTGTCCACAATACCAACATTTGTAGGTAAACACACACCTTTCACTGTTTCCAACACTTCCCTACATATTATTTCATATGGCTGTCACAGCAGACTCATGAAATGAGCCAGAGGGGTTATACTAGTCCTTAAAAGGGAGGAAACTAGGAAGTAGAAAGCTGAAGTTATGTTCTCAAGCTCATTCAGCTTGGGTTGGCAAGATGGCCCAGTGGGCGAAGGTACTGGCTGACAAGGTGGACACTCGGAGTTTCATTCCACATAACAAAGATAGAACTGACAACTATAAATTATCCGCTGACCTCCAAAGAAATGCCATAAGACACATGCACCCACACTACCACACAAAAACACACACTATAATAAAATACCGAATAATATTAATATTAAAATATTAATCACCTAACTTAGTCACAGAGAAACCAACCCTTTGTGTTCCTGCCACTGGTGTCATAAATCTCCATCCGCACAACATCCAAACTCCCAGCCTTTATCCACCCCTCTACCGTCTCCCAAGGTGAAAACCGTCCCGGTGACTCTAACATGCAGACTTTTCTAGGCAGCTACCTATGAACCCAGGGTTCAGCAGGAATCTCTCCTGGAGCTGACGGGGGTACCAGGAAGTGAAAACCCTGGAGAAGCTCCTGGTTAACCAGAGAGCAGCTGACTTAGAGAAATTCCATCACCAGGAGAACCGCAAGGGCACTGCTCATCGCCTTGGTTCTTACTATTTTATGCTCATAATTTTAAGCACAGACCATGAGGAATCTTCGCTTAGCGATGCCTACCAGGCAGGGAGACTTCACATCAGGAATGGGGCTCACCTGGGAGGGGATAGGCTGGTGGCTAGCCTCTCAACGAGCTCTGGTAACATTTGGTGTGTGTTCACCAATACACGTGGGCATGTATGTAGAACTCGGTGTCATTCCTCAAGACCTGCCATCTTGTCATCTGAGAGAGGGTCTCTTGCTGGCCTGAAACTCATGGGTTCAGCTAGTGATGAGTCCCACTTCCCCACAACTGGGAATTCAAACGTGTGTCACACACCCAGCTTTTAAAACGTGCTGTCATAAATCATAAGTTGTACCTCGGGATGCAACCCATGCTTGTGACGCAGGCGTTTCACCAATGGAACCATCTCCTGGTCCCGGTGATAGCATGGAGTCTGAGGACAACTGCTTATTATCTACAGGCCATGGTGACTTTTTTGTCACAGGTGAGTGTGACATTTTTCCCCTAGGGGGAAAACCTGACCCCCGGTCCTCCGTATTTTCCAGCTGGGTTTAGCACCGTGGTTGACAATGGCTTCCAGGTAGCCAGGGGCGCAGCTGGAAGCAGGGACCATGTGCTCTGCTCTCCACCCACCCAGGCCCATGGTTGTTCAGACAACGCTCTGCTTGGCCAGCACCTGCAGACGTGGGAGCTGCAGCCTGGAGCGCACATTCGTTATTAGCCAAATCCCCTTATTAAAATGACCT